ATAGCCGAAGAAAGCTTCTTAGCTTGTTGTCTTATCAGCCGTACCCAAAAGCACATACCTGCACTCTCATGTATGTATATGTATGTATGTATGCATATACCGAAAGAGAGAGACGTTACCAGCACACATACATGCATACGTAAGAGGCAGCGACGACAGCGAGTCTGGTGTGGTTTTTACTTCTGTCTCTGCTCTGCCCGACGTAGCATCGCAGACACAGCAGGCAGACAGACAAAATGACAAGCAGACAAGCTAGTTATGCAGGCGTGTGTGCGTGTTTATGTATGGCATGTGATCTCTTGCAATAGCTGAAAGCAACAAGTAATCACAACACACACACACACACATACACACACCCCTTAGAATCAACAAACTCACACATGAGCAGCGGGCGAGCTAACAACTTGTTTTAATAATTGTTTCAAGTTGTTGTGGAACACCCAGGCGAATACGTGATATGAATTACATATGCACATATGTATGTATGAACATCTATACATGTGTGCGTACATACTGTGCTGACTGTAATCACCCATGCAACCCTTATCATTTTTACAATCTACCTGTGAATTTCCACAAGCTCTAATCCCACATTGTTAAACTCTGATTATAGATATATGTATGTATATAGTACTAGTCTGTTACTAGATAAATAAATTTTTACATTCAAGGCAGAGAGATATTTTACAAATACACTAGCATACCAAGAAAACTCCATTGAAAAACATGATTATTATTATGGGTGACAAATTTAGTCTTGATATTAAAAATATTATTAGCTTTATTTTATGTCCTTTAAATGGAACAAATGTGTCTTGGAATTTAATTTATTGATCATTTCAATTTGTATAAAAGCAAAAAGCCCATAATATATTAAATATAAAGATTATTTTTAAATGTTCAAACATCGAAAAATTAAAGCGTGGGACTGGTAGAATATAAGAAATTCGCATTTAGAAGAAAATTTATATAATTTGAACCTTCGATATCTATTATCGAAAATCTCTTAGCTGTTTGACATTGATTATTTCAAATTTTGTTTATTTGTTTAATTTTTTCAATTACCATTATATTTTGAGTATTCAGAGGTGTGTTCAAATTCTTAACTTACACATCAAGTATACGCAACGTGACACAGTTAGCTAACAACTTGGCTAAGTGTGTGCTATTTGCTGTTTATTTTGCTTTTGCGAGCTCTAGTGGATCAGCTAAAGAGCAGCAACAACAAAGCATAGTAATCTTTTGCCTGTATTCGACACTCTAGTTTTTCCAGCCAGTCGGGCGACTAAAACAAGTAAATAAATTTATACACACACACACACACATTTATTCGTATTTGGTGTGCGGCAATTGGAATTTTATTAGTTTAATTGAAAGCAAAACAATTTAGCATAAAACTGGTTTCGACTCGATTTGTTGAAATACACGAACCCGTAAATTGTCAGAGTATCGGAGCAATTTTCACAAATAGCGGAGAAGCGTGTCACACGTTTTTATGTACAGACAATAAACAAAAGAGAGAAAAAATATAAAACAAATATACATTTATGTACTATGTATATGTACACCTAAGCACACTGTATACAGAGGCTGAGTAAACAAGTCCATTGAGGAAATTATTTGCAAACATTTAAAACATTTTCGCTGATTGTGCCAATTCTCATTTGTTTTCTGTTTTTTGTTTTGTTTGTTTTTGAGTTGGTTCTCATTGGGGGTTTGAGCGCACGCGATCGACCGTTTTGTTTTAAATAAAAACCAAATGCTTATAAATCACATAATAACGCCTGCGTTTTCTTTATGGCTCGCATCGAATTTTAAATGGAAGCATTAATGAAACGTAACGCAGCGTGTGCTTAAGCTCCATATATGCCCATTAAGCGCAGCTGGATGCCCCGGATCCGGTTGTCATTGTCGTTGTTGTTGTCACTGCCACTGCCACTGGACTCTGGGTACTCGATGGATGGATGGATGGATGGATGGGTGAGGGGAAGGCTTGATGCACGTATTTTATTTTTGGCAAAGTAAGTGTCGATGTGAATTCAAATTCGCGGAATCATTAAGCTGCTTAAATGGTTGGGCGGACAGGGCGTGGCTGGAGCAATGATCATGGCAATGGCGATGGCTATGACGATATTAGGTCTGGCTAGGGTGGGGCACAAAGCAAAGCTATTAAATTGTTTCGCAGAAAAGTCATTTGCAATGAACAAAAACCAAAATCCAAGACACTGTTGCCTTTGAGGAATGAGAAATAAACCAAAATGAAATATGTATTTAATGGCAAGACTTTCGCTCATTTGTTCAAATATTTTAAATCTGAACTCGCGACCTATATTTCAATCATTTCTATGGTATGTATGTGTTTTGTCAAATTTGTACTTGAATGACTGCCAAAGCACGCAACGGAAATGGCAATGAGTCAGAGCAGAAAGTTCGAACCAATTTCAAACTCGTGTGCATCGGAAAAATGGTCAATGATCGTGTAATAAAACACACATCTACACACATCTATGGGATTGTGAACGTCATGCGGTGGGCGCAGACGTTAAATGCATTCGGATATGGATAGGTATTCCAAGAATGTGAGAAAACTTGTGTACATAAAAGGCTGGTCCACATTAATTCGGCACGCCATGGGAACTTTTGTTTATTTGGTTTATTTATGGGGTATTTTAGTTAGTTCGGCTGGCCAAGGCAATCGAAATAGTGGCCTACCCTAACAAGACCATTCATTAAATATACATATACAAACTTACATACATACATACATACATACATACGTATACGTACAAGTATAAACAGGTGCGTCTGCGCTGTTGTTGTATGACGTAAATGCCCAGATGGAGCCCGAGCTTGAGCTCGGCAACAGCAAGTGCAACCTGAATCGGTGGCGGTACTCGTATCAAGGTGCCAAGGACGGAAGAAATGTGTGACGAATCGTGAACATATAAGGCTGATACACACACACACACACACACACACACATAAATATATACATAGACATTATTTAAGAGACGGCCACAACTCACTCTTGACGTCAATTAAATTGGAAAATGCCTGAAACTAGTTTCATGCATTGATTACATGGCATAAAACCAATCAATAACATTTGAAAATTGTTCATATTTGGTAACCAGTCTGGGTTTGACTGACTGTGGTCGCAAAAACGCCTCATATTGTTGCTAACTTATCAACAGCAGTGACAGAGAGACAGACGGACAGACAGACAGACAGACAGACGAAATGACAGACTAATTAGCAATTGCATGTGCGACAAGCCCCCTTTTCTCCGCACTTATCAGTTGTTGTTTATTTTGTTGTTGTACTCGTATGGATCGACTATAGTGAATTGTTGGTGCTACTTGCTTACTTAATGGCCATTCGTCAATTTACTTTTCATGGCTCATTACAGCATTTAATTTGTCGGACATTAAACGGTTTTATGGACCTTTATTAATAACAATAATTGCCCAAGTTAGTGCAACTATACATACATGTGTATGAGCCTTTATGTTCATCGAACAGCAACTTGGCTTGAAGAGACATGCCATAATGCCATGTGGCAATTGCATCAGCCGACATTTATGAATTGGCCATAGCAGCAGGAGCTGCAAACAATTTGGCTTGACAACCATATTGCCATGCCACTGAGTCACAGGCAGACAGATAAACGCTTACAGTGATAAAAATTAATTGGTAAATAGATAAGATAGTGAATGGAGTTAGCTAGAAAAGCTGTTTAGCTGGAAAGTGTTTATATACTTGTAGTACTAGATCATTCCTACACAATGATTATTCGAATTCTCAATCCGAAAGGGACGCAAATGACGACTTTGGGGCAATGACCTGCCCAAGTAGGTTCTCAATGAGCCGACTGCATATGGCATATGTAAATTATAATCGTAAATTTGTTCAAAAAACCACATATATCACGTATGTATGTATGTATATGTAAAAATAATCATAATTGAAATGTATATATAGACATGTATGTATAATTTTATACACATATGATAAATGGCAATTCTGATTTTAAATTGCCAACATCAAAGTCTCAGAGTGCGCCTCTGGCCCGTATCCACATATACATACGTATTCTATATCTTTTGCCACACATTAACCTCAAACAGTGTGTATGTGTGTGTGTGTGTGCGCGCCTTCTGCTAAAAATCAGAAAGCCATTCAAACAGTCACCCGGTCAGGCAGTCAAGCAGGCAGGCAGGCAGGCAGGCAGGCCGGCAGGCCAATTAATGGCAGCGCGTGGCACAGAGATGGTCCTAACTTCATGATGATGTTGCACGAGCATGAACAATCATTTTAGCTCATTTAAGTGCGGCACAATTGCTTTTCAATTAGCGCAAAAGTGCGCGCAAGCGTCAACAATATGAGCAACACAAAAAGATCGCATGAGACAGGCATCACAAAGATTTATATCTGAAGTTCATTTAAAGCCACTTCAGGCAAATGGTCAAAAGTAAAGAGCCGGCCGGCTGCACAAGGTCAGTAATTCATAATGGATATGGCAAGAGAGATCTGTTTAGAGTGATCGAACTGTGATCGATCTGCGGCTTAACTCTGGGAAACATTGTCTATCTCGTTCTAACTGTTGTTAGTTATGGAACCCTTTCAGATATTTGCACATTGGCGATGTTTGTTGAGCTTATTGGACTACTCTGTTTACAACGAACATGATCATCTTCTTCGTGCGATTTTCAAGTTCATTAACAAGATGCCGGCAGTTGCAACCGCCATCCAATGTCAAACATATGAGATTATGAACTTGAAAAGCGCACTTCATGTGACCATCCACCACTATCTTTACTCTTTCCTTCTCCGACTTTTCCGGTATATGGTAGTATGTAGTAGTACACGAATGACACTGGCAGCGTTCTTGGAACAACATGCGATTCGAATTAAGTGTTTGCAGCAACAATGACAACTAATTTATGGCCAAGATGCCGGCTAATTCTTAAACCTAAGTTTTAAAACGCTGATTTACTTACATTCACTGACAGCTTCTTCATGGCGGCTTTGTCGATTATTATGTGTGTTTTTGCGTTTGTTTGATTTGTTTCTACAATCTGTGTACACAATACAAATTTTTACAATTTTTAATTGCTCGCCGGCGTATGTATTTGTTGTAAAATTGTTGTTAAGTAAATAGGTTTGTAACGTTTTGCTTTTTAAGTAGCTTGCTAACACAGTTTTGTTGCTGGAGTTTCCTTTAAGTTGATTTGCCGCAGCTTTTGACTTAATTTTACTCTTGTTGTACAAGTATTACAATGTTTCTCTGTTATACTCTTTTTTAGCTAGAAGGGTAAAGTAAAGAATTTAATATTTATTATAACTAATCACGCTGGGGTTGGACTAACAACTTATTGATTCTATTTAGTTTTCGAAAATTTGCCTATAAAGTTGTATTAGTAATACATTTCTGTTATTCCAATTCTATTTGCAAATTATGGGAAACTTTCCGTTTTAAATTAAAAATTTGGTAAACAATAATAGTGCTCCAAAAAGTTTAAATGAAAGAGGAGAGGAAACAAGAATTGAATTCATGGAGCACACAACTCAATCATAATTTGAAAAAACTTTAAATCAAACGCTGTTTTGGCTACAATTTTCTATGGATTCATATCCGAATTTGAGGGGAGCCCATTTTGTGCATACATTAGAATTGTTTATATTATTTATATTTGAGAGTTTTATTTTTAGATTTATATCTGTGTGCTATTTTTTATGATATTTTTAATATATTTGACGTTTATAGCAGAATACAAAGTAAGGCTTTTTTGAGCATTGCATATATTATGTTTATTATGATTGCCATTTCTTATTATTATTAATAATAATGGGTGTGTGTGTGTGTGTGTGTGTGTTGTGTACGGGTTTGTGTGTACGTCTTTGATGTCGATGGCGACGACAACTGCGTTGATTAATATCATTTGTATGCATTAAGCGCCTCAACGACCAACTGCGCCTGCATGCACGAATACACACATACACGCACATATTTTAAACACACATACATACATACACACTTGCTTATTTATTTATGTTTATTTGTGTGTCGGGCTGGTTGTTGCTTTTGCTCTTTGCTGCATTTGCTGTTGCTGTTTTTGCTGATGTTGATTTATTTAGCCGGGCTGATCGCTTGGCTCATTGCATTTAAAATGTCGGAAGTGTTGGCGTACAAAACAACAACAACCACGGCAAATATGTATAAATAAAAAATCTTATATACCATGTACCATACGTACATATGTATGTATATAATATATGCATGTACATAAATACATGCATACTAACATACATACATGTACATGTATGTATGTATGTGTGTGTACTTCCTGTTGTCTGTGCAACAACGTGAGGCAAGCAGCAAAGTCAGCAAATATGTAAGCCAAAATGTGTTTGATTTCTAGGAAACGGCAGAGGCAACTCGCGAGTCCATGCAACACTTATGACATCATCGAAAATCAACGAAAGTTTTTCGTATGAGTGTGTGTTTTGAGTGCCTTTGCTGTGTCTGTGTCTGTGCGACGCACCCCGCGCTTGACAACCACAGAAACAAAAGAAAGAAACCAAAACTGGGCAAAGAATGAGGGAAAAATCTTCAAAATTAAACAACCAACACACACACACGCTCACAATAACGATAAAAAATTTGTGGCCCAAAGTCAAGCAAACACACTACAAACATACATACATATGTACATATGTATGTACATATATACCTACATAGATACACACATATTAATGTATATACATGTGCGTGTGTGAGAGTGCGTGTGTGAATGAGTTAATGCCCAGTCGAAACAGTAAGGTGGCAACAGCATGCAAAAACAACAATAACACAACAAACACAGAGCAAAAGAATAAAAAATGCCGGGCGGCAGCATCGAAACCGATGACGAGCAACAACAATAACTACAACGGCATCATTTACTGCGCATGCCCAGCAGGTAGCAGTTCTCAGCTCGCATTTTGGCCTGGCCAACTGACGGCGAAGCCGCCTGCGCCTGCGCATGCGCGCACGATGAAACGCACCGATAAGCGTTTTGGTAAAGCACAGACCCTTGAGTCAGCCAGCCAGCCAGTCAGTCAGCCAGACCGTCAGTCCGTCAGTTCGTCATTCAATCAGTAATGCAGTGAACGATGGCGCCACAAATTTTTAGCTCATTTTCATTTAAATGCCTGCTTATCAACATTTTCAAATCGGCGCGTTTTCTTTAAACATTTCATCTCTGTCAATGGTTTGTGTCTTGGCTGAGATAAAAGTGCGCACACACACACACACACACACACACACACACTTGCTGGCAAGTTCATGGCAGTTAAGTTATTATTGCATATTGCATTTAAAATCAAGCAGCAACTTTTTTAATAATATTCAACACTGTACTTTTCCACAATTAAATAATTGACTCTTTATGCATTTAGGCTAATTTTGTTTTATTTCTTTCTTGCGGTTTTGTAGCACAAAGCGATTGGCAGTGGCGTTTATTTTAACGTTGCTTTGCATTTTTATTACCTATTTATTTATTTATTTTTGTAATTTTGTTTTGTGTTTTTAATTGCTGCCAAACTTGAAAGCTGCTTGACTTTTACGTTTATTACATTTTATATTGACGTTTGTTGGCTGTTGTTTTTCTTTTTTTTAGCGCTGGTACGGATTGGCACGCGCAGCAAGACCAGATTAAGCTTAATTTTTGTTCACCTTTTTCTAATTATGATGAATTATCGTATTAATTGTACAAAGCTTTGCTTATGCACTTTTCTTTTTAAAATAATACTTTTGGCCTCGTCGCGCTTTGAAAACGCGTAAAAATCGCGTGAAATCAGCACAGTAAAAACAAAATTAAATTAAGAATTTTAATTTAATTGCATAAATAAAGAAAATGAGGGAATTTAAACGCTTTGCACTTTTTTTTTTTTGCACTGGGTATAAATTTTCTTAGCGCTGCTCAGTTTTTCTTATTTTTTTCTTCTTTTATGTTAACAATCAATTTTCTTGTTGCTCAGTGTGATGTTTACTTGTTGCTTCGTGTTTAAGGACTAAATCGCACTCGACGTTAACATTGTATTATAAGCAGCGACAGCAACAGCAGCAACACACGCTACTCTCCAAGTTGCGCTGTGTTTGTGCGTGTGTGTGTTTGTTTGTCTGACTCACAGATACAAATTGTATCTCGTTGCTCTTAAGTGGTCGTGCCGCCTGCTGACCAGTGTTGCCAATTTAGCTTTTTTCCCGCTAGTCTTGGAGTTTTTAGACTACTGATGTCGGGAACAATTGTAGAATCGATTGCTGGATATCAAATGACTTTACTATAAAGTCTTTAGAATAAGAATAAGTTACTGCAAAATAATGTTTTTGTACTAGTATAATTATGTATATGTGTATGTATGTATAAAGAAACATTGATCTATCCCAACTTGCTTGTTAGAATTTTCCTCATATTAGAAGAGTTTTAACAGATAGTCCATCGAGTCAATGCATCCTTCATATTGAGGACAAATTTATAGGAATAAAAATAATTATTTTAATCACCTATTAAAAATATTTTTTCTAGCTAAAAACGACTGTCCGGCAACACTACCAATACAGCTTGTTCCAAAACAGTTTTTCCCATAAATAGAATTAAAGACTATATTCAGTATCTGCATATAATCATCAGTACTGAAAAATATTGCCATCCCTGTACATCACTAAAATGCTAAAACTCCAACTAACCTAAGCTGTTCTCAGCTATTTTGTACAGTACATCCTAGCTACTTTTTGTAATCGAAAGTAGGCAGTTCTGCTAGCTGTTTGTTGTTGTTGGTTGTCTGCTTCTACCTCGGCAGTTCGCTTTCGTCTCAAATGTTGCTCAGCATTTGTTGCGGCAACAACACGATCACGAGCATAGCAACATTTGTTGCCGGGTACTCTCTCTCTCTCTCTCTCGTGCGATACAGCAGACACTTGTTGCTGCTTTTTGACATTTTGCTGGTATATGTATTTATTCTCTTTGTGGGATTTCCCCTGCGTGCATCATACATAATACAGAGTAACACGCTACTATTTCATAGTGGAAAATTGTTAATCAGTACAATTAATATGTAATTGCTGCATGTCGTATAATCTCTGATCAAAGTCGAACTAAAAGCACAATTTCTATTGTTATTTTTTTGATTTTAAATTCCAATGATGGGAAACATTTTGTTCGTTCTATTACACGTGCGTTATTAAAATTCAAAAAATTCTCTACCACAATGGAAAATGCCAAATTGGCAATCGCTATGCGGTTTTTATTTTTCCTTTCAATTTTGTTTTATAACCGGAACTGTTCTTCTGAATCTGCTGCAATTATGGTATGAAAACATTGTCTAAAAATAGATCAGTTCCATATTTTTCACGCCTGGACACACATTGTATGCCCCTCAGCACCAGTTGGATAATTTTCAAGAAACAACAATAACAAAAACAACGAAACTGCCAGTCTAAAAATAGCAGTTCTCATATAAATACTTAATTGAAATTTCAATATAAATTCAAATGAGCAGTTGGAGTCGTGCAAACAAAGTCGCACTATTCCCATTAAACGTAAGCAGATACAATAACTTATTTGAAATGACGTGTCTGTAAACATACATATGTACATACATATGTACTATAAATACATACATCAGAAATTGGCAATTGTAATAATATTCCAATTATTATTCAATCCCCAATTAGGTTTATCGGCTGCACTCTTCTACCAGAAAGTAATCGTATTTATATAACAGCCGCCTGATAATTTCTTACTTAATGCTTAACTGTTTTTATGACTAATCCAGCCGCAACTAATTACATTTTATGGTCACAATTAGGGGGCGATTTGCTAATACCCAAATTGGCCAAATCAACAATGCGGGAACGAGTGACGGCTTAACGATAAAAATGAATATACTTATTGTGTTTGTGGGAAAGAAGAGATAAATAAGTGCATATGCTTGTTGTTATTGTTGTTGCTGACGTATAAGGTGTGCGCGTGTTTTTTTTTTACAAACTAGACAGATTAAATTGCAGGCGGTACGTGTCAAAGGGGCAGTGGGTGGAGTGAAGTATCTGGGTGGAACAAAAAGTCATATGATGTGTTAAAAAGTAATTGCTGTTCCACAACAAGAAAACGTTTTTAAGACGCGTCATTTATAAATAAACAACAAGCATTTGCAAAGATGATCAAAATACAATCATTGCCTAATTATATTGGTTATTTATTTGCAAACTTGTTCCCCTAAAAGGTTAGTTAAATGTTTATGGTTAAATATGACCAATAGTTACATATATAATTGTTTAAGTTTTTGGCTAATGACCTTTCCAGTTATATTTCAGACACAGGTTGTAAACAACTTCATTACATTATTTAAAAATTATTTAATACACAAGGTTAGTTTTTTATTTGCAATACCTAGGTTATGCAAGAGATTACATTGAACTGATATTACAATAACTGCTATTTCTACATTCATAACGAATTGCACCGATATTCATAAGAAATAAGTTCAAAGGACACCAAACCCAAATCGGACTTTCTATAAAGTCCACGTAGAAATTTGAATTTTAATTGTAGGGGAAGGGAGCTGGACTTTCAATGCTATAAATAGACAATAATAATAAATGGTAATAAATGCTAATGGAATGATCCGTATGAAAATAACAGATGACTGCTAACTCCCGCATTTCCCATGTCATCTGGAGTAGTTAAGCCAAAAATGAGACAAGCATAATCATACACTTCAACAAGACGACCACACAGTTTATGTAGAAAACTCGGGAAATACCAATTGAAAAGCGGCTTCAAAGACCTTATTTTTCTGCTCGTTTTTCTACACACAGCACAAAACAATGACACAGAAATTAATTAATGCTTTACACACAATCTCTTTATACCAACTAAGAATGTGTAGAATCGTAGACTCTGAAACGATCATTATATATAAACTCTTTCTACCTAGAATTTTTTACAGCGCCATACATTCCATACAACATTTGTAATCCAGTTTTGAAAAAGAAATTGCTGAATAAATTAACAAAAATGGTGTAGCGCTTCGCCTGGATGCCAACAAAACACTTTCTTTTACTTTGGATTTTCCCACTCTTGAAATGTTGTTCCAAAAAGTCAAACAAAGTTTTACGAAATCTTACACCATTTCAATGTTTGCATCCACTTACGCACTCACTAAACACACACAGGAGGTGTCAAGGTGTAGAATAAGCAATTGCCAGCCAGAGTGTGGCGTGAATTCAATTGAAATTGATGAAGTAACGAAATTAATTTGCATTTCAGAGACTTTGTAGATTTTAATAAATATGTGAATACGAGTATATGTATATTAAGGATTTAGTTCCCACATCTTCCTATGGGTGTCTGTCTGTCGTTCAATTTGTGTAAATCAAATATAATTATAAGATTACATACTTGTACAGACATGCATGCAAATGTCAAATTAACAAGTGTCAACACGCACTGGAAAACGGAACCGGAAATGGCGGCAAGCAAAGCTTTACACATTCACACACAGGCAGACAGACAGACAGAGAGAGAGAGAGAGAGGCAAACAGTTGGGAGAATTAAGTGATGGCCCTGCTTAATATATGACGCACTCAACTGTCTGTCAACTGGGCAGGTAAAATTATAATACTCGGACATACTTGTACATAAGTATAATGTCGGCTCACGGGCGGAGGTTAAAAATAACGTAAATACATGCATACAATTATATATGTATGTATATCATGCTCCAACAATTGACCTTGTAACAATTTCTTTTTTTACGAAACTGATTTATTTGTGTTTGTTTAATTCTGGTTGTAAACAATGACTACGAGTATATTAACGCAATTATGCCATGCCGCCCAACCACCGCGCACGCTAAATTCAATGTTAATAACCTCAAAGTGGGCCAAACAAACCCATACATATAAACAAACAAACAAACAAACAATATATTGAACTTGTGGGCAAGTGCAAAATAAAAATGGGTGTGCGAGATGACGATAAATAATAAAAAATACCAAATACAATAAATAAATAAATACATTTAAATGTCTTGCAAAATTTGAACTTGAACGTGCTTGCTTACCTTAGGCACTTGTGCGATGCGGCCCAAGATTTCTCTAAAATGCAAATTTGTTTGTTGTCTCAAGTGGACTTGGTCTTGTTTCTTAGATTCCCAAGGCGCTGATACTGCTTCCGTTTCTGCTTTCTCTGTTGCTTCCGGTTGTGTTCTCTAGGCTTATCCCGCCCGCTTCTGTGTAAACTTTTATTTGTAATATTTGTTTTACTTTGCCAAAGTTTAATCGTCATTAATCGTTTCTCTGGCAGTTAGTAACAGCTTGGAATTCATCGCCATTTTGTGTGGATTTTCGTCAAGTCTTTGTGGGTGCGTTGATAAGGCATGGGTTTGACTTTTATATCTTTGTTTCGTTTGCTGCGCGCTTTTCATAGATGCGATATTTTCATTTTTATTTTTTCACCAACACACCATATTATGTATACACATATACTGATATAAAATTTTACACAGATCTGCTGCTGCTGCTGCTGCTTATGTCGGCGTGTGGACAGCAAAACTGGCGATAATAGCAACCAACAATCATAATCATTCACAATGAAAGTGAAGAATGAACGAATGAATGAATGAATGAATGTTTGCTGTGCGGTTGCTTGCTT